GCGGACGGTGCGGATGCTGGCGGCCGAGGAGCCACGCGCCCCACCGGTCACCGTGATCCGCGGTGAGAAGCACGGGGGACCCCTGCCGGGACACGTGGTCATTCCTGGGTGGTGCATTCCGGAGCCGCCCCAGGGTGTGCAGACCTGACCCAGAATCTGCAGCAGGGTACCCGCTGGAAGGCAGTGCACCGTGCCCGGTGCTGCGAGCGTCCAGCTTTGGCCAGATGTGCAGAGGTGCTGTGTGCGGGGCCTTGCCTGAGCAGCCGAGCCTTATTACTCTGTATCAGCGCTCTTTCATTCTTCACAAGCAGCTGTTCGAGATCGTTTTGTTCACATAAACTGCTCCTGCTCTTGCCCTGTCTTCTCTGAAACTGATCAGGAAATTAGCTAGGTGCTTGCCTGTAATCACTGCACTGGGAGGCTGAGGCAGGAGGATGCTGGGCGAGCCCTCCGGGCTATCCTGAACTACGGAGGAAGATGCTGCCCCCCAACATGAAGTTAGTAACAAACTTTTTCAATGGCCTGTATACCTTTTCCAAGGTACACGGTTTTGGCCCTGTTTCTGCCTTTTCCCTTTGGGCCAGGGGAAGACCTCCATTTCCTCTGGTTAGAGTAATGCGTATCCAAATCCGCCCTCCTCTGCCGCTCACTGCCTCTGACAGGTCTGTACCCTAACGCTGACTCGACTCCGTGTGCTGCGTCACGTCTGCCTTGCTGGCCGAGATGGACACCCGGCATCCCTGCGGATCGTCTTTCCCGCGTCAGCCCCGTCCCGGCAGTCACGGAGTGGGGCCCCCCTTGCCGACTCCCGTGCGCCCCCCGTGGCTCGGCAGGTGACGGTCAGCTCTGGAGCCCTGCCTGTGTCCTGGCGGCACCGCTGCCTAGCTGCGTGGTCCCGGCAGGTTACTTGTCTCAGTTTCTGTGTCCCAAGCTGTGGAATGAGGACGATGACCGCGTAGGCTCGGAGATTAAAGGACTCGGCCTGGGTCAGATGCGTAGATCGAGGTCTGGCACCTGGGAGGCCCTAGGAAGTCTGCATTCATTATTTCAGAATTTTTATGATTATCTCACAGCAGTGGAGCTGCCTTTAGTGTTACCTTTCTGCATATTGTGACCCAGCTAGTTTTGCTAAAATGCAATCTGATAAATCAGTCCTGGTTCGTAAAATCATCAATAAGTTCTCTAACCTGTTTTTTGCATTTGTATGTGTTCATTTTGAGACGGTCTTGCTTTGTAGTTCATGCTGGCCTTGAACTCACTATGTAGCCCAGGCTGCCTTTGAACTTGCTATGGCTGTGTCTGGATGCCCCCCAACGCCTCATGTGGTCAGAGCTGGGGCTTTTCAGAGGTGGCTGCATCCTGAGTGTGATGCTGGCATCAAAGAGGTGTGATTACTGAATTAGTCCACCCATCAGTTTAGCATAGTTCTGCGTGTGGGTAATGGGAAGGGTGGCTGTGAGTTGCCTACCCTGAGGACAGGTAGCCCAGATAGAATTTAAGGGACAGAAAGGTTGTTTCCTTCCGCTTGCTGCCTTCTGCCTGCCTGCTCTGCGACGCCCCTCTGCCACACCACCCTGCCTTGGAGCCGGCAAACTATAACTGAAACCTCTAGGAACTGTGAGCTAAATAAACTTTTCTTCCTTTAACTTTGTTTTTTTGTTTTGTTTTTATTTTGTTTGTTTGTTTGTTTTGAGACAGGGTCTCACTATGTAGTTGAGACTGATCTGGAACTCACTATGTAGCCTAGGCTGGCCTTGAACTCACAGGGATCTTCCTGCCTCAGCCTCCTGAGTGCTGGGATTACAGGCATACGCCACCGTGCCCAGCTTCCTCCTTCAATTTTAAATGTCAGGTATTTTGTCTCAGCATGAGAAAAGTAACTGAAACAGAGCTCATGGTGATCCTCCTGCCTCAGCCTCCAGAGTGCTGGGATTATAAGCATGTGCTAACATGCCTGGCCCTGGATATCTTATTCTAAAAGATATTCTGCTACCTCTCACTTTTAGGCAGCAGTCCCATGACTACCAAAGCAGAGATGGATGTTTTCCATCTGTGGTCCCGTAACAGTGTTTCTTACCATATGCTTTCATCCTTACCCCTTCATCTGTGTAGCCTGTTAGGTGACTGTGGTCTCGTTCAGGGGAGAAGTGCTTTTTGAGTGTTCCTCTGTTCCTGTGCTGACCAAGTAGTGGGCACTCGGGGCTTTTTAATACAGTCATTAACTGAATGAAGGAGGGTGTGGCATAGATGGAGGAAAAACTTCCAGTATTTCAGAAATATTTTGAGTCAGTGTCTTGATTCTTTCCCCTTTCTTCTTAAATAATCAGGTGTTTTTGGCGCGGGCAAGAGCTATTTGCTAGCGGTGGTGGTCTTGCTCTTCGTACGCCTGTTTGAGCAGAGCGACACTGCTGCCGTAGGAAATGTACAGCCGTGGAAACTTCTCATCTCCTCCTCCACCAACGTCGCTGTGGACAGGGTGCTTCTGGGGTAGGTGTGATGGGGGTACTGGCGGCTGTCGGGAGGGGCGGTCACGGCCCCATCCCTGCAGGTCCTGTGAGCTGGCTTCTGACAGGAAGTGGTGACAGGCTGCTTGCTGCTCGGATGTGCTGAGCCTGATGGTTTGGCACTCACGTGGGATGCTCAGGCGATAACTGCGGTCCAGCCTCGATCCCGATCCCGATCCTGGGGCTGAGGTGCTGGGAGGCTCCCACATGACTCAGGGCGCTTCTCGGTGCTGCTGCCTCTGCAGCACGCAGGGCTGGCTGCTGGGTGGCTCCTCTCTCCCAGGTGACAGGCAGGCCTGCCCCCTGCTTGCTATTAAAAGCACTGGCTCTGAGCCAGGTATGGCTGCTGTCTATAATCCCAGCTCTTGGGAGGCTGAGACAGGAAGATCACAAGTGCAAGCCCAGCCTGGACAACTTTGTCTCTGACCCCTGAGTTTGGGATCTACTGTCTTAGAAGAATCTAAAATTAAATCCCAGAACCACAGTTGGAGGACAGCGTCTTGGCCATCTGCCTGTGTGAAGGCACAGAGAACATCCAGTATAGGAGCAAATTCCCTGTGATGAATGTTACCATTGTGTATATCTAAAATGTACCAATAAAAGTTTTGCTTCCAAAACAAAACAATATATATATATAAAAGCATAAAATATAAAATGAAAAAAACCAACAAAAAAACCAGAACAGAGCAATCTCTGTAAATTATATTTCTAGTTTCAGTAAGCGGACTCCAAAGAAGGCAAGAGATTATAATTTGTGATTATAGGGCTGGAGATTTAGCTCAGTGGTTCCACCACTTGCTTTGCAAGTGCAGAGTCCTGAGTTTGATCCCTGGTACCAAACAACAACAAAACAATAATAATAATTTGTGATTATATAAGATTTTATGAAAAATACAAAAAAAAGTTTTACCAATATTATTTATCTCTTTTTGATCCTGGGGATTAAACTCAGGACCTTGTGCTTGCCAGGCAGTCACTGCTGCTGAGCTAAATCCCCAGCCCTGTTTTACCAACATTTCAGTGTTTAATTATCTAAATTCTGACATAGCTGAATCTAAGCTTTCTGTTATTACTATTTTGTTTGTGGTATTGGACATTGAACTGAGGGCCTTTTTATTGAGCTGCATCTCTTGCCTGTTTGTATTTCTTTTATTTTTTATGTTGAGACAGGGACTTGCTAAGTTACTCAGTTGGGGCTCAAACTTGCTATTCTCCTGCCTCAGCCTCCCAGAGTTCTTGGGTTATTGGTATATACCATATACCCAGCTGACACTTTTATGAGGAGAAATATTCTGTAATTTAAAAGTCTAGGCTTCTTAAAAATTGACTTTTATACTCACTTAAATTAATGCCTATGTAGGATACATGCAGCTTTTACATTTTGCTTCTAAATTTGGAATTTAGTAATATATAATATTTTCTGTCTTGCTTTTTTTTTTTTTTAACTTAAAAATGATTTCTCTATGGTATTAGATCTTAGAAAACATAATTTTCAGCTGGGTGTGGTGGCGCATGTCTATAATCCCAGCAATGGGGAGGCTGAGGCAGGAGGATCACTGTGAGTTTAAGGCTAGTCTAGGCTACGAAGTGAATTCAATGCCAGCCTGAGCTACAAATGAGACTCTCGCAAAAAAAGAGAAAATATAATTTTTGTAATTCTATTATAGTCAGTGATTGTACCATATTTTAATTAGTAGATTTTTGATGAGTAAGTTCTTTCCAAGTTTTTACTATTTTAAATTATATTGTGAAAAAGGTCCTTAAATATAAGTCTTTATTCCTATCCCTGATTTCCTTTAGGAAAAAGTCCTAATCCAAGAATAGAATATCAGGACATCTTTTTTGTTGTTGTTGTTGTTTTGAGACAGGGTCTCACTATGTAATTGAGACTGACCTGAACTCACTATGTAGCCTAGGCTGGTCTCGAACTCACAGCGATCTTCCTGCCTCAGCCTCCCAAGTGCTGGGATTACAGGTATGCGCCACCACGCCTGGCACATCAGGACATCTTTAAGCTTCTTAACATATCCTACACAGCTGCCCTCCCAAAAGGCTCTGACATGGTGTATGTACTCTTAGGGGAAACTTGGAAGAGTGGCTGAGGACTGCTTTTTGATCCAGGACAACAAGGAGTTGCCTGGGGACTGACCAGAAAAGAACATGGAATTGCTTATCCTGAAGTGAAGATATAATAGTAGACGCTTAGAAAACAAAAATCCAGAAGTTAAACTGGGCTTAGTGGACCATGCCTGTAATGCCAGCACTTGACAAGTTGAGGCAACAGGATCACCATGAGCTCAAGGCCAGCCTGGGCTACACAGTGAGTTCAAGGCCAGCCTGAATTACAAAGTGAGACCTTGCCTCAAAAAACCAAACCAAATCAAACCAAACCAGACCAGACCAAACATAAATCCAGAAGGGAGATGGTAGGTAAGTCCTGACTACTAAGAAGCAATTGGAAACTTTTTTTTTTTGGTACTGGGGATCGAACTCAGGATCATGTACTTTTGGGGCAGGCATGGTACCGCTGAGCTACATCCATGGCCCAGTTGGAAACATTTTTGAAAAGTTCCTTGATGTTTAAATCTCTGAAAAGGACCTCTGTCTTCTGTGATTAGCAGAGACATCTCAAGTGCAAGGAGGCTGGACTCAGTCCCTTCTGTCCACTAAAGGACCACTTTTGTGTACATCTGAGCACAGTGCTTCCTGCTGCAGTGGTCAGGACAGTACACTTTTCTTGAGGAGAAATGGAAGAAGAAATGGGGATTTATTTTGGTTTGGTTTGGTTTTTGCAGATCTAACCCATGGCTTCACGTATATTAAGTGAATGCTGTACTCCTAAACTACATCCCCATGGATAAATATATGTACATTTTACCAAAAATTATTTTAAAAAAACTCTGTAAAGTGTGTTATATAAACAAGATCTTGCAACTACAATGCATTTACTTTGAGTGTAAAACTTGAATGTTGAGTTATGTAACTCTAAAATGTACTGCTATATAAAATTAATGTTAATAAATATTATAAGAAGCTATTTGATAAATAATCAGGATCTGTTTTGTCTTGATTTCTAAAGGCTTCTCAGTCTTGGATTTGAAAAATTTGTCAGGGTTGGGAGCATTAGGAAGATCGCCAAGCCAATTTTGCCTTATAGGTAAGACTGCCAAATTCTCAAATTTGAGGAAGTTTTGTATAGCTCCTCCCTTAAGTCTAGTGAATAAGAGGAGGATGCCTTGTCTTAGAAAATTTGACTTAGAGAATGGAATCTACAGACCGCGGTGACTTTCCTCGGGACAGCCCACCCTGTGTCCTCCAGGGTGTGCTTTTCTCTTCTTTTTCTTGGCCTAAGCTCACTCTTCACTTTTACTTTTTCCAGTAAACTTCACTACCATTAAAAAAAAGATAAAGACCTGCCTCGCAAACTCAGGGTCCTGAGTTTGATCCCTAGTACTGGAAAAAAGCAGTGGAATCTGTATTTTGCTCTTTTGTGATTCATGGAGAACAAAATAGAGTAGAGGACTACTCTTTTACATAATTCTCTCTCTTTTTCCTCTAGCCTGCATGCTGGCTCAGAGAATGAAAACGAGCAGCTAAAGGAGCTCCAGGCACTCATGAAAGAGGACCTGACTCCTGCAGAGAGAGTGTGTGTGAGGAGGAGCATAGAGCAGCACAAGCTGGGCACCACCAGGACCCTGCTGAGGGAGGTGAGGCGCTGGCCGCGCTTGCTGTCCTGATTGTGTTACTCGGGTCCTCCTCACTTTGCTCAGTGGAGCAGTACTTTCTTTAATAAAGCAAACTCTCGTGAGCCTAGAAAGCGAGGTGCCTGTGTGGACGGCGTCTTCCCAGTGTGTGTTGCGGTTGCTGCCCAGTATTCTTGTGCACCGTGCCTGGGTCACTCTTTCTCCTCCTCCCAATTTGCATATCTCTTTATAGGTGTGAAAGGAAGGGAGGACCTTAGAGATTTCTGGCAAGCTGTAGGAAAAATAGAGAAGTCCTGGTCTTGGGCATATTACCAAAGTGGAATTTGTCTTTGACGCTTTCCCAGAAAGCAGACTCCAGGCTGTCTGTGTGCAGGAATCCGGGGCACAGACACTTGGTGCCAGGCTGGTCACACAGGGTTACGGAGCATGTCACCCCTTGGTCTGCTCATCCAGCCAGACTGGGCATCAGCTAGGAGGAGAGAGAATCTCACAGGTTGCTCTTGCACTAAAGGAGAGAATGAAGAACAACAGTTGTTGTCTTTTTGTATTGTATGGAAACTGGGAATGCTTGGCAAGATACTCGGGGAGGGCCTGGGATGTAGCTCAGCAGTGCCTCACTTGCATGGTAAGCACAAGGTCCTGAGTTCAATTCCTGATACAGAGAGAGACTTGGGGAAGCCAGCCTGCTTGAGATCCTGTATTGGTCAGCAATTGCTGAAATAATGCTGTGTAATGGATGAAATCTCAGTACTTTAAATGAGACAACTACTGTGACTCCACAGATCAACTGCAGCTCAGATTTAGGTTAAGGTCGTGTCTCTTAGAAGAATTGCCTGTGCATGGTGATCTTCCTCTGACAGATGGCAGAAGTACACAAATACAGGCCAGATCACAAGATTGAAATCTCGGGTTCTGTCATCTGCACTACCTTCTGTTTGCTATTTCAGCTCATACAGCCATGCCCAGTCACACTTACCCTGCATCACTACAAAATCACAGGCAAAACGCACAAATGTGCAGAAATAATCTCATAGGAATGAGGGAATTAGGAATAATCAATATACAGCAGGTTCTGGTTCTGGAAGTCCTTGGAGGGCTTAGACTGATTTCTGAAATCTGAATTGTAGAGAACTCTGTCCCGCCTTCTCCAGAGGAGCTTGGATTGGCTGTGCTTGGTGAGTACAAATGAGCCATGTGTGCGAAGTACTTACCGACACAGTAACGGTATGCAAGAAACGATGCAGTGTAAGAAAGGTTCTTCACAAGTCTCGAAGTGAAACCCACTCTTAATAATCTATTGCTGACTTATTACCCATTCACAAATGAAAACTATTTCAGTGAAAATGTGTTTTTAAAGCTTTTTGCTGACAAGTTCCCAGTCCATGTTTGGAATTGGGAAATGGGCAGAAAACGTTCAGATGGGAAGGAAGGAGGAAGGGAGAAAGGAAGGGAGCAACAAGAGAAAAAGGGAAAACAGAAGAAAAGAATGGAAGCAAAGCTTTTCTACACAGGAAGGGGAGGGGACTTGAGAGGGGATGGGATAAAACAAAATTTATTAAAAATAGTTAACGCATGTTTAATATATGTATATATTATATCCATCCCCAATAAATAAAAGCAGAAGTTTGTAAGAATGTTAGAAAAACAAAATTCCCAGTCCACTCAAGCAATCAGACCTGACAGTTTTACAATAAAGCTGAATGTAAAAAAAAAAAAAGCTGACTTAAAAATGCTGCATGGTTAAGTACTTACTTCTCCCAGGTCAGAAACAAAGTCTTCTCCTGGTAAAAATAAATTTATAAATTTTAAAAAGTGAAAGTGGTATAATTCTTTAAAGAAGAAATTTAGTTCTTTAGGTTTTATATTAAGGTATTTCATTGTAAAAAATGCTTTTTGATTTATAGATTTCAGCTCTTTCTAAGGTTGTTTTCATTGGATGTAATTGCCAGAAATTAGATAACACACAATATTTCAGAGTGGTACCATCAGCAATGTGTAAGCTACAAGGTTGGAATACTTTTGAAGAACTGAATGTTTAAATACTTGGAATTTCTAACATGAATGTGGCTGTAGGATTTTTTATTTTGTTTTTAATGAATGCAGGACAACCTAATTGATAAAGATGTTATGTGTGATGAATGTTATGTGTATTAGTAAGAAAACAAAGTATTTAGAGTACTTTCTTGTTTCATAGGATCTAGAGACAATGTTTAACCTGCCAAGCATATTTTTGTCTAACACATCTGATAAAGAGATGGTCAGTTTCTATGGATTGCCCTTGCTAACAGGAAGTATAACTACATTCAGATTAATAGAAGGGAATGCACGTTCCATGAGTGTGTACACATGTACTTACACACCAGATGTGTGTGCGTGTGCACAGCCAGAAGGCTCCAGACCAGGACTGCACCCACTAAAAACTTCATAGTGTGGGGCTGTGGCTCAGGGGCAGAGCACTGGCCCAAGCTTCACCCAGCACCGCACATACAAAAACACAAAAAACAAAAAACAAAGCAAGGGCCAGGGATTTAGCTCAGTGGTTCCACCGCATAAGGTCCTGAGTTAGATCCCCGGTACCAAAATAAAATGGCATTCTATTGTAATATTTAAAACTTTCAAGATTCAAACATATTAAAGGGTCAGGTGTATTTCTAACTTATGTTCCTTGGAATTAGCCACCTTTCCCTTCTTGCATAAACCCTAAAACTCGTGTGCGTGAGGATGTAAGCACAGGACACCTTCCCATGTCCTCCCTTCCCGCCGTGCGTATGGCAGCGATCTGTGTCGTCACTGCGGCTCCCTGATCACTGTAATACTTGCCGTCCGAGTATCCAAACGTGCCTTGTATCAGTTCTCACTCGTGAGCTTCACGTAGCGTGTGTTCTAGGGTTTCCGGCCTGTGTGTGGGAATGGTGGCAGCGGAGGGCAGAGACCAAGCGTCTCCGCGTTCCAGCGTGTGAGGTCCGCCTGGGCGCCCACGTGGCCCGTCTCCTGTCCCGCAGGTCCGCGTGGTGGGCGTGACGTGTGCCGCCTGCTGGCTGCCCTGCATGAACGGCCTGACGTTCCCGGTGGTCGTGCTGGACGAGTGCAGCCAGATGACTGAGCCCACCTCGCTGCTCCCCATCGCTCGGTAGGTGTTGGCAGAGCGTCGCCTCAAGCCTGCCTGCTCCGTGCCTTTTCACACTGGTCAGAGGTCTTCGCAAGTCAAGTGCTGAAACTGATATTTTGATAGTAATAGAGAGGGATGCTTTTTGAAGGAAATGCATGAGAATTCTGTTAGGTTACAGTTTCGACCTTTAAATCACGTAATCTTTAACTCCGAGAGAGCCCTAGAGCTGGGATGCGAAGATTCCTCAGCTAGCAAAAAGCCTCCTCCTGAGTCATAGTTTGAGACCTCGCTCCAATGATTCTATTCTTCAGTTCCCTTACTTTGATGCAGTCTGAACGTTCAGGTTCTGAAAATGTTTTTAGATTATGAAAGAATATAAAATATATAAAGAAAACAAGTTGGAAATTAAATTTGTCTCCTAACTTTAGAAAACTGTGGATCTTCTAAGCATCCCCGATAACAGAAGCCTGGTGCCCTCGAGCACCCCTGGGGAGTGGAGGTGTGAGCAGCGGGGGCCTGGCTTCCGGCCCAGCGCCACCCATCGCGAAGTCTCCTGGGCAGTGCGAAGACCCCCAGAGTGGGAGGCAAAGGCCTTGCGCAGCCCGGGTTAATGAGGGAGCAGGGTCCAGTCTGTCAGGATCGGGGGTGTGGGACAGTCCTGGGTGAGGCAGGTTGAACTGGTCGCTGCTCCCAGGAGCCCGGGGGAGTGTGTGGCCCTGGGTGGAGCTGAGGGAGCCATATAGCCCCTGCCGTGTCCAAAACATATCACACACTTCATCTTTTCACACCTGCTGGTGCCGGGCCATTTTGTCCAGGTCACTGCTAAGAACACAGGCATGGAGGGACAACAGGACTCGCTGTGGCCGCAGCTTATAGTAGAGTTGAGGTTTGGATGTAGGTCTGTCTACAACATTTGGACTCCCCCCCCACTATGTCTTACTTGTGTTTAGAAAGACAGACAGTCCCCTGAGAACCTAATTTACCCCAGCTTTAAAACAAGAGTTTAAGCCAAATGAATTTAGAAACTTCCCCTAAAGACTTTATGAATCTTAAAAATAAATGTTTCCTACATCTGCTCTGTGAAATCCTAATTCCTTGCAGAGGCAGGTGATAGTGAATGGGTTTCTTATGGAAAAAAAATTACACGAAAGATTTTCATCGGCACTATCCAACCTTGTTTGTTTTTGGGACACTTCATGGGATTTGAAGTCTTGGAGTACATTTTGCAAAGAGCAATAAATGATATCAACATGTCCCTTTTTCGTTCCTTAGCTTAAGTTTTGAAGTTTTGTTTTTAGGTTTGAGTGTGAGAAGCTGATTCTTGTTGGAGACCCTAAACAGCTGCCTCCTACAATCCAGGGTTCTGAGGCAGCTCATGAAAATGGATTGGAACAGACCCTTTTTGATCGGCTTTGCTTAATGGTACGCACTGCTGAGTTCCTACAAGGGTATCATCATTTGTGGATTACATACTGTGTGGGTGGTAGGGAGAGAATATCAGAAAACTTAATCTTTGTTCTTAAGCACTTAACAGTTGGATTTGTTTAGACAGTACTCATCTTAAAGATAAGTAGAATCCTACAGTTTTAGCAGGGCTTTATGAAAAGAATTTTTCCCCAGTGCTTCAGGAACAGGTAGGGAGTATGTTGCTTTTGTTTTAAAAGCCAGGAAACTTGTGATGCTTCTGTCAGCTGTGCAGAGCTAGACATTTTAAATGAGTTATTAATGTATTAGACATTTAAAATGAATTATTAATGTATTTTAAAATATGAGATTCGAATAATATAGTTATCTGAAGTGGACAGTTCAGTGGCATTTAGTACATTCACAATGCTGTGCAACCACTGTCTTGGTCTCGTTCCCCCAAAATTAACCTTTGCACTTAGCAGTTATTCCCTGTCCTCTTCTCTCTGGCCCCCAACAACCCCAGTCTGCATTCTGCCTGTGGATTTTCATATTGATGCAGCCATACAATATGTGTCTGGATTATTTTACTTAGCACATCACTCTGAGATTCACCATTTGAGATCTGTACTGTACTACTTACTTTTTCCTAAAGAACATCTGCAAGGTTGTACAAGTATCACCCATCTATTTCCACAGCTTTTAATTATTCTAAACAGAAGCCTTGTACTAATTAAAGTCATTCCCCATTCTTCCTTCCTGACTCTGATACCTTTGGTCTACTATTTGTCTCTATGAATTTGCCTATTCTAGGTTCCTTGTATAAATGTAACTAACGATATGTGTTATTTAGTGTCTGGCTTATTTAATCAGCATGTTTTCAGAGTTCATCCATGTTGTAGCATGTGTCAGAATATCACTCCTTAAGGCTAGACTATGTGTGTGTGTGTGTTTGGATTATTTTTACCTTTTGGCTTTTGTGAATAATGCTGTTCTAAACACTGGTAGACAAATACCTGTTCGTTTTTGTTTTTGTTTTTGGGGGTACCAGGGATTGAACTCTCAGGATCTTGCGCTTGTAAGTCATGCGGCGGCACCACTGAGCTAAATCCCCAGCACAAATACCCATTTGAATCCCTGCTTTTAGTTTTTTTGTTTAGGTTTTTTTCCCACTTTTAGTTCTTGACCATAGACTCCGAAGTATAATTCCTGGGTCACACAATAATTCTGTTTAACCTTCTGAGGAAGGGCCAGTCTTCGGTAGCAGCCACACCATTTACATTCCCAAAAGTAATGCATGAAGGTTCTGCTTTCTCTTGTCATATTCTGCTTTATTTTTATTTATTTTTGGTACTGGGGATCAAACTCGACTTTGCGCTTGTAAGGCAGGCGTGATGCCACTGAGCAAAGTCTGTGGCCCTTTTATTTTTACCTTTGTAGTGGCAACCCGAATGAGTGTGTGTTATCACATCTCCCTAGCCAATGATGGTGTGGAACATGGCATGCTTACTGGCAATTTGCATATCTTCTTGGAAGAAATGCTATTCAAGCCTTTGCCTGTTTTTCACTTGGCTTCATTTTTGTTGTTGATGTGTAGGAGTCCTTTCTATATTCTGTTTGTTTGTTTTTTGAGACAGGGTCTTACTATGTAGTTGAGCCTGACCTGGAACGCACTGTGTAGCCCAGGCTGGTCTCGAACTCACAATGATTCTCTTGCCTCAGACTCCCGAGTGCTAGGATTACAGGTGTGTGCCACCACGCCCAGCTCTTTCTATATTCTGGATATTAATTCTTTATCAGATGTAAAATTTGAAAAATGTTATTTTCATTCCGTGGCTTGTCTTCTCACTTTTGTCTTGTTTTTGGCAGTGCTGGGATTGAACCCAGCATCCTGTGCATGCAAAATAAGCACTCTACCCCCGAGCTCCTTTAGTTTCTGGTAATATCCCTGGGTGCACTGAAGTTCTTGATACTGTTGAAGTCCTTTTAATACATACTTTTAGGTGTGTGTTGCTTATGCTTTTGGTGTTGCCAAAACATTTTTCCCGGTGTTTTCAAGAGTTTTGTAATTTTAGCTCTTCAGTTTAGGTATTTGATCTATTTTGAGTTAACTTTTGTATATGCTGTAGGGTCAGAGCCCAATTTTATTCTTTTGCAGATCTCCAGTTCTCTTTTTCTTTTTTCTTTTGTGTTTTCTTAAAAGAGGAAGGAAAACCCATGTGAAATGAATTGTTAAATGAGTAAATATTTCTTCACCCAGAAGAGATATTATTTCCTAGTGATGTATCTAACAAGAGATTTTAGATCGAATAGGTTGATTTCTCTATTTTTAGAGGTACAAATACTAATGTTTTATGATTCTTTCCTACATCCCCCCAAAGTTCTCACTTTGTTATTACATTGTTATTTTTATATTCTGAGTGTACAGCATTTATCTTTTTTCTATAGTAGTAACTCGGACATTGAGAGCCAGTTGTGTATTTAAGTAGATTCAGTATTTGGCTTCTCCCTTTTCCAAGAGCATCGGACTTTATCATCTGTCTTTTTTTTCTTTTGGTACTGGGAATTGAACTCAGCACCTTGCACTTGTGAGACAGGCAGCAGCACCACTGAGCTAGATCTCGGCCCTATCATCTGTTTTTTTTAAATGTTTGAAAGCACCTGCTGCCTTTAACTGTAAGAGGCTCCTTGGCTGGGGGTCCATTCTCAGGTCACAGCCATTTTCTAGCATGCACTGCTGTGACGTTTAGGGCCAGATTATTTCTCCCTTATAATTTTTCTTTCTCCCTGCCTGGACTCAGTAACTGTGTTGCCAACCCTTAGCTTCCGAAGAGTGCAGCAAGCTCTTCCAGCTCTACCTCCTGAGCTGTTTTCCAGTGCCTGTGGTCTGAGGTGAGGCTGGCACAGAGCTGGGTGACTGGGTGCAGCGGGCACACTGTGCTGGGGCTCGTGGCTGGAGGTGGCGTCCCTGCCGCCGGCCGCATCCTGTGTAGTACTAGCTCTCACTCCCGCTCAGAGGCCCGCCCACCTGGGCCTGGCTTCCTCGGGAGCCGCTGGCCCGGGGCTCTGGCGAGGTGTGCAGCCCCTCTGTGCTGGGTCTCTCCCCTGGCTGAGTCTTCATTCCCCGTCATGGGCCTTTGGTTAGTTACAAACATTTCTTTGTTGCAGAATGGCTAGATTTTTTTTCTTTGCTATTTAGTATTTTTGTTGTTCTTTTAGCTACTAGGGAGAGGTTTGTGAAATGCAACTGTTTTCTGCTTTCCTCATTCAGAAGTACCCCGTTCCTTGGGTTTTAGGTTTCACTGAGTTCTGAGCTGACTTGTAGTCAGCATTTTAGAGAACCAATCTTTATATCGACCTGAGCGTTTCATTGGAACTGAAAAACTTCTTATCCTTCCCATGATGAGTCAACATCCAGCTCCTTTTGAATCTTGACTTTTTTTTTTTTTTTTTTTTTTT